GTATAAATTTCATGCTTGAACTGCTACGAGGGCTTGTAGTCGTTAAAGCATGAAATTTATACGCCAAACGTCAACTTCAAACGCCAAATCTTAATTTACTGCTTTGGTGAATGGCATGACTAGTGGTTAATTTGCTTTCTTAAATCATTGCTAAAGAGCACAAGTTTAATAACTTTAGCATATTTCAAAACTGGTGTAAAATCTATAATTATAGAGTTGTAAAATCAAAAACTTCGCTAGCGGTTTGACGTTTGCGGTAAACGTTAATCTTAAGGTCTCTATTAATGCGCTCTAGGGTGTGGAAAATTGGTGAAAGTAGGTTGCAAACATATTTACGTCGTTTTTTTTTCTGCTGCTCTGAACGCTTGAGACTTTTTGGCTGAGATTGGAGGTAATTTTACAGTGTCAGACTTGGAATTCCTATAACTGATTTTACAGAATATGTCAATTTATAATGTATTTCAATTTGTTTACCCGCACAATGGCTAGGTTGATTTGATTTGATTTTTGGTTTCAGTTGATTTTTTATTTCAGTTGATTTTTTATTTCAGTTATGATTTCAGTTTCTATTACAGTTTCTGTTTTAGTTTCTACTTAATTTCAGTTTTGATACGTGGACCTCACGTGGGTGGCTCATCTAAGATCAGTGCAAGCAGCAATGGCTACGCAACTTGACCCGAGTGGACCGAAATAGCAATGTTTTTACCTTTATCTTTGATGTTCTGTCGACAATTGACTTTAATACCTTTGTCTTGGATGTTTTGTTTGAGGATTTGTTGTGATGAAATATTAACACTTATACTAAATTTCCAAAGCACAATGAATCAGGAAATGACGGATTTTGTCGCATATACCGTCGCTTGCGACTAAGGATGAACAGTCGCAGCTAAAACAATGTTATCATTTGCGACCGTTCATCCTTAGTTGCAAGGGACGGTAACGCCCATGTCATGAACGACAGTTTCGAAGTTAACACGACAATTTCCGTCACATCTGGACATCTTGGCGAGCGGGCTAGCCACAAAAATTCCTTGAACGTGCCTTGGGTTGTTTACCATTAACATGGAAATTCCGGGGATTCCATACGCAAAGTAAATGGAACAAGCATATTTCGACGGCCCAACCGGAACTATTCAGGAATAAACGGTTTGTTTGAAAAGGTTGTCCTCTCTTACCGATTGGAACGTTTCAACCGGTGAATTTTGTCCATTTACACCGTTTTTGTTTTTCACCAGTTCCAGGCTCTTCGCGATTTAATACAAACCGAATGGGTTTTCCATGTAAACGGTAAACAACCCTTCATTGCCTTCCGGTCAGTCACTCTAAATGGAAAGCGCATAATCCGAATGGGATTTTCTATCCGAAATTTTGCTTACCATTAGC